ATATATATATATATATAGATATAAGATATTTCGAAATTCTAATCATTATTCTTGGCAAAATATTCTCATATTTTGCCATGAATTTGATATGATTTTATTTGATGAAATTACAAAGAAATAAATACAAAAGTACTTTTTGTATTTTCATCTATATATATATCTTTTTTCGATATAGATAGAGATCAATTGAGAAAATTCTATTCGATAATATTATTCTGCATATTTTCAGAAAGATCATAATTTATTACTTGGTAGAAAAATAACTCCAAATATATTCTTAATATTATTATTGAATATTTATATATTTATCTTTTGAATAAATATTTTGTTTGAATAAGACAAGTCCCAAGTGAGTGAGCAACGTGAGGCCAATGAGTGAGGAGTCAGTGACAATAGTGACTAATAGGGAATACGAACGAGTGAATGAATAAATGAATAGACGAATGATATATGAAAAAGATAAGAAGATGGAAAGACGAAAAGAATAAGACAAGAAATAGCCATCAAATAATGAAACAAGAATTCCAAATAAAGATATAGAGAATATTCATCCAAATAAAAATCAATATCAATATTTCGATTATTCGATTTCTAAGATTTTAGACGAATCTTTATCATTATATAATAAGAATTTGGCTAAATTATATGAATAATTTTTCAAAGCTTCTCCGAGACCCACACTATTTATATAATTATAATATTAAAATATTCAATACATAATAAATTATTCTATGAAATTTAAATGTAGTAAATAGCATTCAAAAGATTTTTCTATTCAAATCATTGAATGAAATATTTTTTTGTTTTTATCTATTGAAAATCGAATTTTATCATATAATATATATATATATATTTATTGAATAAATATCAAAGATGAAGTTCTTAAAATCTAATAGCTCGTATGATAGAAATCAATTTGATATTCTTTCGATCCAAATTTCATATTTCTTATTCTCAATTTATGTTGATTTTCAAATTCCGATTCAATTATTTTAGATATAATAGTTAATATAATCTATTAATATATTTCATATATGTATATATCATATTTCGGGAGGTTTGGTTCTATTTGAAATATTCAGATATCGATATAGATATATAAAAATTTCATCTAGAAATAATATGAATTCAATAAATATTCGATATATTTATTAAATATGATATAGATATCATATATATATATGCTTTCGACGAAGGCCACGAAACATATTTTCAGATCTATTAGCCTCGAAGAAATATGCTAGAAAAAGAAAAAAAAATATATATATCAATATTTGAATATTGCGTAAATTAATAAGATCTTATTAATCGTATCATAGATTTCTCTTGATAATTTCTTATTATCATTTCAATATGATTTAGAGATATAATCATTAAATTCTATTTTTACCAGATATAATAATTAAAGGTATGCTTTAAGATTCTCAGAATATAAATTCTTCATGGCTTTATGTATAACATGAAATACATCTAAATTTTTCAATATTTTTCGTCAAAAAAATAGATAATTTATAATAGAGATGCCTTAGATATAATGACATCTTAATTTATTTCTCTTTCTCGCACAATTCTTAATTCGATCATTTTTCTACGATTTAAACACAAATCGAGAACACTATAACAAATCCCTAAAAGAAAAATATGATTCTTAATATGATCCTGCTATAGAATTCGATCTAATTTAGAGAAGATTTATTTTAGTATAAGGTTCCTAATCTTCCTTAAAAAGTTTGGAAATACTTTTCTAAAGAAAAAAGAAATTTTAGTTCTTCATATAAGTCTTGCTATATTTTTAGATATGCTTTAGATATAAAATAATCTCTAGATCGAAAAATCTAGAAATATTGCTGTTTGATTTTAAAAATATGGTTTCTTATGTAGTCTTTTGAACATGATTATATATCTCTCTATTTTTTAATATTTCTTCAAATTTTCGAAGAGAATAAATACAGAGTTATTAGTCACATATTCTCATATAAAATAAAGAATATATTCTAAAAGACCAGCCTCCGACCCTGCCGGACCCCCGACCAGACCGCCCAGACGCTCAACACCTTTCCATTGTGCCAACTCCCAACCGAGGGACGCCAAAATCGTGTCGTTGTCAGGCAGGAGAAAAAACACGCCCTTTCGGAAACATGCTTTTGCAAATCGCTCTCAATTCTGACAAAATCTCCTGATCCAGATTTCATCTTACTACTCATGCAAGGGTCATAAGACCAAATGACAGTCTCGATTAATTGAATATTGACATTGAATCTGATACAGTGGTTTTCTATTTGGGATTCGTATTTCTATGGTTCTCGCTCGCACACACCGTTGTTGATCAGACACGTTGGTACGCGACCACATACTCTGGATAGATGTGGGTACCATGGTACACGATCAGCTCGCGGTATCTCGCGATCATCGCCCCTCTTTCTGCGAGAAGGGAATGGAAGTTGATAGGGGGACTTGATTTCGGAATTGCTGCCAACTCTCGCTTCTCGCTGCTCCAGACACTGGCTGGAGGTCGCTGATCCATGTCGTGCTTTCCATCTTGAGTCCGAACTGGACTGCCAAGAATGACCCGGCAGAACAAGACGTAGAAGACACCGTGTGCAGGAGGAATCTTCAGCTCGTGGTACAAGACTTTTTGAAGTTGATGCTGGCCGCCATCGTCCCGAGTGCAGTATTGGTCATTCTTCCCCACATCCTCAGCGAAATAGGTACCGTTGCCAAAGAGGCCCCCGCTGAAGCGCTCATTCAAGCCGTTCTGCAAAATGGTGAGAAGCACTTCAGGCTTTGTCCCATGGCTCAAGTAAACCTCGTTAATCTGTTTGTCCATCGCCTCTGTCTTGTTCACGGGCAGCTCACGTAGGAGGGCACTGTATTCTGTTCTTAAGCGGACATCGGCGAAGCAGGCACCCTGCTTCCTGAGGGATTCCATTTGAACCTGGACTTTGGTCTTAGCAGCCATGTATTGTTTCCACAGAACATCGTGCTCCAGTCGCCAAGCCATCTTTATCCGGAAGCCACTGTGTTCACCGCGCACGTGCATGTCCCTTCCCCCCAAGCTCGAACCAGGAGCCAGGGCCTTTCCCAAGGCTTGCTGCTCCGACTCCGAAGCCAAGCTCAGCTTCCAGAAGCGCTCGGAGTGTGCTGGGCATTCAGCACCCGACCAATGTGGTGGCCTTGAACCGGCCACTTCCCTCAGCCGTACCTGCAAACAGGAATCGACACTGCCTGCGAGTCCTCCCCCTTGATTTCGGCACCCCGCAGCCTGGAGGATGTACTTCGGCAGACCCACCGAAAGGCGGAACAGGCGCAAGCAAGCAGTGTCTGAGTTGAAGGCGGAATCGAAACTGGCGGGCGGCTTGTTCACCTGTTCCCAGTTCTGATGGTGCTTGAAGTGAGAGCCCACTGTGTAAACACGACCCGTCTGAACTCGGCAGAGGACCAAAGTCAGCAGGCTCGGTGCCGCCGACTCTCTCCTCTTATAGGACTTGTAGAAGTCGCAAAAAGTTGCTATCCCCTTTTGTTTTTTCTTGCGGTGCTCAAGGCCCTTCTTTGCCACTTGCTGAGCCACGTCGAGTGAGGCGACTTCCAGAATGCGCAGAGCACCCTCAGGGACAGGGGCCGTAACAAACTCGTGGCCGCGATAGAACTGACGCTCCAGGTCCGTGTTCTTCACACGCTGGGCCAGTTGGATCTCTGCTTCCAAGCCGGAAGTGCTGAAGAAGGATGCCACTGATGAAGTAAGCGTGTCGAAATCCAAAGGCTGCTGCTCTTGCGACAGCTCTTCTACATGGAAGAAACCTGGGTCGCCAATCTGTGCCATCAGCTCTTGAATCTTTGCCATTTGCTCTCTCTTGGTGTCCTCGAGCTCTTGCGCACACAGCTTGCAATCGTCCAAGGCCAGATCGCAATCTTGAAAGCAAAGCAGGCTGCAGGGGTGTCCACACTTCATGACTTTCTTGCAGGGCAAACGGCACTGGAAGTTGCCTTCTGATTTCACATGACATTGCGTGGACGACCATTCCGAACAGCTGGAACACTGTATGCGCACCGCCGTTGTGCACGGCTTCGGCTTGTCGCAGCACCTGCGTGTGTCCTTGTGACCACAGCGTTCATGGTGAAAGTTCACCACCTCATGGCACTTCAAGATCTCATCCGCCTGGTCTCGTGCTGAGCACTCACAGGCCTTGTCATGTCCGCATCTCAGCGTTGCAACCGCCGGCTGCTTGCAAGGTGGGTGAGCTCCATCCCGGTGGCAGTGTGCCTCACAAGTATGCCCACACGGCAAGATTGCCTTGCAGACGTGATGGCACTCCCGGCCTAAGTCAAGCGGAATGTGCGGATGTCGGGGACAAATCACCGGCAACTTGTCTCCAACTTCCTCCCGCTCCTCCATCACGCGAATCAGTTGCCTCCAATCTCGGGATTTCTTTGCCAACAGCCAGTCGTTCCCGAAGAAGTAGACCCCACACCTAGCCCGTGAAGCTGCCACGATCAGCCGATTTGGCTCACGCAGGAAGCCGATCTCATCCGCATCATTCGATCTGACCAGAGAGACCAAGACAAATCGATTCTCATCCCCCTGGTACCGGTCGATGGATGAGCAAACCACACCGGCCAGCTGCCTGTCCCGAAGCTGCCGCCTCAGGAAGCTCACCTGACCATTGTAGCTGGCTAGAACAGTGATGTCGCTTTGCTCGTAGCCTTCGTGGAGGATGTGGGCGATGAAAGCAAGGATCATGTCTGCCTCGTCCCGGTTCATCTTGCTCCGGCCGATTTCAGACTCCGTCTCGGACAGCGAGCGCATGCGGAGAAAGTACATGGGCTTCGTTACACAAGAGAGCTGCTCGTTCTGAGAGACTCTCATCAAATTGGACTTCAGGTCTGGATAGTGTGGCCTGAGCAGGCAGAGAAAGTCATCCCGCATACGGTTCTGCAGCGTGAGGGTCTTCTGGGGGAATCGCTCATCGTGCAGCTTGTGCAGCAGCAACCTCTCGAACATGGAACGGTCAAAGTTCAACTGCTTGCCTAGCAGGTGGTTCTCGATCTTGGGCCGAAGTTGTAGATGGTCTCCGACCAGAATTAGCTGCCGGCAAGTTGGGGGAATGGCTGCAACCAGCTGAGACTCGAGGATTTCAGCGGCCTCCTCCACTATCACCACGTCGAAGTTCACCTTGGACAGGCCCCACACGCCTAAAACCCTCCGTCTCCAGCCTGGAGATGCAGAAGCCCTTTGGGATAACCCTGCCTTTTTCAAGAGATCTCCCCGGATTGAGGCACCGCTGATAGTGCAGCCAACAATGGAAGCCTGGGAAAGGAATTCGGGGGTTTGGCTCCGGTCCTCCCGATTGCCTAGGGACTGACCTGCGACCTGGTTCTGCTGTTCGGGTGGGCCGACCAGCCCCGCCTCGCGAAGGATCATTTGCTGGTGCTCTTGCTCGATGCGGGTCAGGCGCTCCTGCGTCAAGCCAGAAACTCCAACCAAAGCCGTGCTTGTTACCTGCTAGCCGGTGAACCCGAAGCGAGCACTGCTCTATGAGCTGGGGGTCTCACAGCAAAGCCCCGATCTCCTGAATTCCGTCACACTCTCGGATGGTGTCAAAGATGCTCCAGTTGCCTAGCTCTGATTCCAGCCAGGTGCCCAGAAGCCGGGCACGCTCGCGATCCAGCAAGGCCCAAACATCTTCACTGCACACCACCGACAAAGGTGCGGCATCCAGGATGAGAGTGGGCCCCAAGCATTCCTGCAAATTCAGCGTGCAAAGCTTCTCGGTCTGTTCTGCGAAGGCTTGCCTTTCCAGTGCTACCTCCTCTGCCTCGACATCTTCCAGCACCTGATGGAAGCGACCCTCGTCACCATATGTCATTATGCACAAAAGCCTTAAAGGTCTTAAACTTCTTAAAGCAACACGGCCAGCCATTCCCGCACCGCCCGCCTTCGTCTCCTTGGGTTCCTTGGGCTCCTTGGGCTTGGGCTCTGGGCGCTTGGGGAGCCAGTGTTTGCAGCATGGCCTTAGGTCCGAAGCCGTCGGGCGCAGGCCTTCAGCAAGGCTCCGGAGGAGGCTCTCGTGATCGTGATGCTTCACGTGGCCGCGCTGCTTGTTTGGGCAGCCTTCCAGCAAGGAACAGATCTGCTGATCGGTCGCTCTTGCTGCAAATAGCTTTGACGGGTCCATCTCGGCCTCAAGACGGGACATTTCTCGCTGAAGCCGGTCGATGATTTCTTTCTTGTCTGAGATCAGCTTGAAAGCCATCTTGCCCAAGAGTTTGTCCTTGGGCTTCTGCTTCGCCAGGGCCTTCAGGTTGCAGTCTTGCAGCCTCTCGTCTTCGCAACGTCCCCCGATTCGGACCACCTGCACGTGAGGCATGTGTTTCTGACAATCGACCAGAAACTCATCGTTGGCATGGTTCTTGTAGGTCAAGACTAGTATTCGGCGTCGGTTATCACGAGGCCCTGACTCATCAGAGATCTCGGATGCGTCTTCAAAGAAATCATCCTCACCGTCAGAGTCTCTTTCCATGTCAGCGAAGCGACTCGTACCCATGTCAGCGAAGCGACTCGTACCAAAGGCATGGGACAGAGAAGTGCTTCCATGAAGAAGGTGACGGCAGGCCTCCACGGCAATGAAGCTCTTGCCGGTCCCCGGGGGACCCTGAATGCAGCAGCATGTTGACTGCAGCATCATCTCCAAGGCCTCCAGCTGAGCTTCGTCGAAAGTACGTTCCTGGCGCTCCACAGTGCCCCGCAGGGACCTCAGCGCTGACTCCGACCAAGGCAGCTGCTCAGCCGCTTCTTGGATGCCCTTCCTCTGTCCCAGGAGCACTCGCTTCAGGGGCATGGTGGCCTCTGTGGTGCCCTGCAACTTGTCCAAGACAGGGCCGAATGCTTGGAAGAAGACGGGGCTGTCAGCCAAAAGCTGGGCACTAAAGAGCTTCATGAAGAGATTCTTGCTGTGCAACTGGCGGTTTAGGGACTGGGGAAACTGAATGCTTACCTCGATGCTGTCCTTCCGATTGTCGCTGGGCCGTTCCACGATCCGACCCCACAGGACCTCGTGAAAGGGCTCCTCGCCAACGGATATGCACACCAAGTTGCTCTGCATCAGTGCACTTGGAGGAAAGCCCCTCCGCCCGAAATAGTCTTGGCAGCGGATGGTGGCCACAAGTTCTTGCGAGAATTTAAGCACATGGATTTTGGTCATCCTTGCATAGTATACCCGAAGGTCACGAGGGTCCAGCTTCCCTGCGATGAACTGTTGTACACCCACTTGCAAGGAGCCGAAACAATCTGCCCGGAGCAGTCGGAAGTATGTGTCCATGTACTCCTCGAAGGTGTCGTAACTCCACTTCACGGCTGGCAGGGACTCCAAGTCGGACAGATCACCACTCCTGAATTGTGCCCATGTCTTTTCACTGGAATGCTTGGAATCCTACCGTGTCGCTATGAAGGACTGGCCAAGGCACAACAGCTGTGGAGCCAGGACCAGTTTGCTCCACGACACCCGGTTCACATAGCCGACCTGTGATGCCAAGAGGTCGCTGTAGGTCTTCACAACGTACAGGAGCATCTCCGTCGACCCCGTCTTGGACGCAGCAGCCTCAATGAAGGGAGTCAGGAGGAACGCATAAGCAGGAAGGACACGGCAAGCCTCCGTGATGAAATCAAGCGCCCCCTCCGATGGCAGCTCACTGCGTGACAATGCTTCTGGCAGCCTGCGTCTCACGAAGGAGCTTTTCAGCAGATACAGTATGAAGGAAGACTCCGGGGTCGTGGGGTGTCCGTCAGGGAGCGACACATTGGAGCCCATGTCCTCCAGAATCTTCGTGGCAAGCTCCACAATCTTCCGCATGCACGAAACCGGGAGCTGGTTTTGTCGGAGAGCAAACTCCATGTGAGGAAAAGAATAAAGCTGCAAGCGTGAAAGGATGACAGCACCCTCGCTCCGGTAAGCATCCCAGAGGTTTTGTATGAACTCACAGAGCTGGGGGTTCCTCATCCCTCGATCCCCGACTTTGCGCAGATGAGGCACAATTTGGATGTGCCTGGACCAATGCGACACGTCGGGGAATGCGAGCTCGTTACCCTCAAAGGGCTGCGTAAACCACAGATCTGCAAAGCATGAAAGTGCGACAATGCGCTGCTCCCCACGCACTTGAAGCACCACCTTCGTATCATGCACCTGCTCCACGGTGGCTGAGGCCATGCACCTGAAGCTTCCCTTGCCGCTCTGCACCTCAGAGTCGGCACTGGAAGCCTGGTCCGAGTCTGAGTCTTCATCGCTTGGCGGCGGCAATTGCCCATCTTTGAGGAAAGAGCTTCTTCCTTCCTCGTTTCGGCTTGCCGATGCTACCGCCTTGAGCTCAGACTCGCCATGTGCAAAGCGGCACCTCGCACCGAAGGGGCAGCTACCTTCCAGGAAATTCCGGCACAGTTTGGTCTTCTGGAGGTCACCGTTGACCGACTCCCTGGACTCCCAAACCCTTGAAGCTGCTGGGCCCCGAGGTGGTACAAAGTCTCCTTCTTCCGGAATGTAGAGCTCTTCCTCTCCGTGTGCGAATGTGCATGTGCTGCCGTTCCTGCACCTTCCGCGTGCAAAGTGATCGCACATCTTGGTCTTCTTCAACTCAGACAGGTCATGTGCAAAGTGGCAGTCTGAGCCGAAAAGGCAAGTGCCATCTTTGAACTTCTGACACAGCTTGGTTTTGGGAACCAGCCTTCCGTTTTCGCCTGCAAATTTTCCTGCGTGCTGTGCCTGCACGGCTTGCGCTTCCATGCCTGCAGGGGGCACAAAAAGCTGTGCTTCACCGTGTGCGAAAGTGCAGCGAGCTCCATGTCTGCACTCACCGTTCTCAAAATGCCGGCACAGCTTGGTCTTCTTGAGCTCTTCCGCTGTGTGCGCATAGCGACAAGCCTCTCCCAGGGTGCAGCTTCCCTTGGCAAAGTTCTGGCACATCCTCGTCTTGTGCAGAGCTTGGCTTGGGTAACTGCCTGCTGCCCCAAAATCTCGCGAGGACTCCATCGGCTCTCGCGGGCTTGGCGCTACTTGTTCGTCTCTCTCGACAGCACGATGCCACAACTACAGTATGTATGCCCGCACTAGATGTTGCGAATCCGATGTGGCTGAGACTTGAGAAAACCAAGGCCAGCTCACTGCTTCAGAGCCGCAGGCACACACACACAGACAAGGCCAAACTCAGGGTGTGTTCCATCCGTGAAGTTCCAAGATTCGGTGGAACGACATGTCATCTTCATAAGGACATCTGGAGCCACGAACCGCAATCCGAAGCTGGATCAGCCGCCAGAGGTTCATACACACGAAGTGTCAGGACACCAATCAACAGTGTAGGCCAGGGGGCTCCGCAAGACTGAAAGTGTGCCTGCGACTTGTACAACTTCAAGTACCGTAGCCTACTGCATCACTTGCCACGCACACTCCAACATGTTCCCAAACCTTCCATCTACAAGGACGACGATAGCCCGAACATTCATGCCGACTCTCACAAGTAGGCCAGGATCCCAGCATCCATTTAGGGTACTCGTGCAGTTCACTTCAACATAGAAGCGTGGTTCACCCTTTTTAGCAGAACGTCAGTGTGGTCGCGGCTGCATCGGCGTTTAAGTGATTCAAAAGCCCAGGGATTTCACAAGGAAAGCGGAAAATCTCGGAACATGGAAAAGGCCACAAAGAATTCGTGATGCGAAGTCATGGCTCACCTTTCATGTAAACGTTTTGTGGGCTTTGTTCGTCCATGTTTACGGCTTTCCCGTGCAAGCAGTCTCTGAAATCAACTGTGGCTCCAGCTCTTCCTGTCGAGACTGCGAGCGCCAGGCACAAGTCCCTATGTATGCCAGGTCGTACCATGTCATCTGTCCGTGTGTCAATTTTGATTGGGCAAAGAGCAGCATTTGCACTTTGAATGCCATCTGCTATCTGTCTCATTCTGTAGTAATCTGCCTTGTACTCCTTGCAGTGATGTTACATGTCTGCACATTTGGCTCGCGTTCTTTGACTCCAAGCAAGACGGGAATCTAGCATAAATGTCAGCATTGCAAGTCGGACCATGTGCACCCCTGCAAGCGGATAGGATTCCTGATGATTCTGGATAGTCCTTGCTGCTGGCTTTAGCCCTGTCCAAGGTCTGACAAGGGCTGTCTTTGCGCTGGAGCTCAAGCCACTACAGCAGCGCCCCGAGAGGCTAGCAGAAACCGATAAGCACAGCTCGATCTGCTTCTGCTTAAAACATTGGGATAACGAACTACTGAAGGAAAGTCGATGTGATGTGAGAACTGTCCCCATCTGCCTTCCGAGACGGAAGCATCCAAAGCACAACGTCACTCGGTCACAAGGACTCTCCTTCTTGATGTGTCCAAGCAGCTCTTCTTGGGGAGACTGAGATTCGTGTCGACGGCCGTCGTGGGAAGGTCTTCTTCCAGCTGCTCTTGTACGACGAGAAGGCTGGCGCAGCATTCAGATTGCATCAGCTGCACGAACAGCTTTATCGACACGGCAAGCTCCTGCGGTTCTTGCATGGGTCCGCATGTGCGCCTGATTGCCGACTTGATGCGGCCGGCCACCAAAGGTTCCACTGGCGTGGAAGTCTTGCTGCGTATATACATCACGGCATGAACACGTCCTACTGGCTTGCTTCTCTGCAGCCATGAAGCTTAAACTGCTGAGCATGTTCACACCTTTTTGCTGCAGAAATGTCCAACTAAGAAGCCAGCAGGAAGCTGGGTGCTGCCTCTCTTCCCAGTCTACATCATTTTCAGCATATGACGATGCTGTCTGTGCTCCACATGGAACTCCAATGTCTGAAATGGTTGGCTTCACCCGGTTCGTAGCCAGATCAACCCTCGGCCCAGCACCTCCTCCCTGCTGTGGCAACTTTCAGAAGACCAATGTAAAGCAATTAAGGTTTGACCGGTGAATAGCATAGCAAGCAACACTTGAAGTCAGCCCGCAGACAGGGCTGTCGGGGCTGGTGCTCATGGGTGCAACGGAAGTGTGACGTCTCTGGTTCGCATGTGAGAAAGAGATGTGTCAGATTTGAAGCTCTAGCGCCTCTAAAGAATGAAGAGTCAGCACGGGCAATGGCAGGGCTTCCACTTCACCGGGCAGCGGCATGGGCTTCCACCACACAAAGTCAAAGCTTCAAGAAGCAGATGCAGGCTATGAAATTAGAAAGTTCTCTGCACGGGTGCCTCGCCCATTCAAGGCTCAAGGCCATGCCCATGCTAAGCAAGGAAGAAAATGGCATCACAGATCGCTCTTGGAGAAGCCCAAACCAATGACCCCCCAATTTCTTGAACATGTAGCCACATCTGGCCTACCGGCCCCTACACCTCCAAACGTTCCAATGGTCGGCCAACAACATCGCCACTCGGCCTCGGCTGCGCTTGTTGTTTGGACTCACGCTCGGACAGCACCCAGGCGCCGGGCTGTGGGGACTTACATTGAGACCAGAGGGCAAACTAGCAGGCTCAGTCTGGCAAGGGGATGGAGCCCAGCTTGGGGCATTCAAGCCACAAGCCCGACTAGCAGGCGTATCATGTATTTCGATGAAACATGACGGCTGCAGGGCCCGCAATAACCGGATGTACGTGGCTGCTTCTGGGAGGGGGTTTGGATACCAACGAGCTATAGCATTTCGACTGTCACGACCGGAAATTCTCTAGCATGCAAAGCAAGCATTTAGAGGTACATGAGGTATAGATTTGAGATTTCCCGAGGTCGGAATGGAAACTTCTTGCCAGATACCCTGCATTTTGGTCTGGTCGAAACTTGGATGGTGGTGTGACAAGAGGCGTGGCTGCCCTGGCGGAACTCGTTGCCACCACACTATCATCTTGGTCTGCTTGGTCTGCCTGGTCTGCCCGAACCTCACAATTGCTTTCTCAACCATGTTCGGCTCAGTTCTCAAGCAGTTTCAATGCAAAGACTGCATGAGAGACCGCCGCCAAGGATGTGAAAGCTCATCGGAATTGGTGCCAGCCTATGTTTGGTCGGCCAATGTCTTAAGTGATGACTTGTCTGCACGGTTTAGTACACAATGATACATGTCTACAGGGGTAGAAACTAAGGAAGAGAATGAGAGCTGCATAAGCACATGCACATAGGCACATGTTCCCCTAGACATACAAGACATGCACGCATGCATACACGCAGAATGTAATACATACATACATACATACATACATACATACATACACACATACATACATACATACATACATACATACATACATACACACATACACAGTCACATACATACATACATTCATACATACATTCATACATACATACATACATGTTTAGATACATACATACATACACGCATGCATGGATGGATGCATACATACGTAAGTACACACGTACGTACATACATGCTTACATGCTTACATGCGTACATGCATATACAAACACACAAACAAACATGCATACATATGTACGTACGTACGTAAATACGTACGTACGTAAGTACGTACGCAGATACATACACTCATACCTCTGCATGCCTGCCTGCCTGCCTGCCTGCATGCATGCATGCATACATATGTTACATAAACATACATGCATGCATGCATGCATGAATACATACATACATGCATACATACATACATACATACATACCACTTATTAGCACATAAATGCGCGTGCGAACACACACATGTGTGTGTGTGTGCACGATGCTGCTCATTCATCTGATCTTGTTTGTGTTTTCTTGTGCTAGGTCTGGACATACGGCGACGTACGTTTGCAGCATGCACACGTCTGTCATGATGGACACGCCTGACACCGATGCAGTCATTCAGATGACGCTATTGCCTGTTGGACAACTCATTCGATCTACAGTTCGGTTCGCTCTGCGGCCCATGGACCAAGTCTGCTGGGAAGTTGGTGCAGCGGAAAGGGCAAGGATCTCGCTTCTCATCCATGAGCCACGTGGAAATGCAGCCCTCCTGCGAGGAAGCCAGCAAAGGTGTGGCTGATTCCAGACATGCTGGCACGATCTAGGCCATAGTCTTGACCGACATGGCTAAAAGCCAAGGCACATGGTAGACATGGCCGCAGTCGAGGCGAACAACCTTGCTGGAGCTGGAATGCACTGATTCACCGATTCTCTCCCGAACAAGGTCGTGCGCAACGGCGGCAAACAACACGAGTGTAGTACGCGTGCGGTTATCCACAACTTCTTTGCTTCTGGGATAGGGCTCGGTCCCCAGAAGCCGCTCCATCTTCAACTGCGGGTGCCCATAGTTTCGGGGTTCTAGTTTCGGATCGGCTGCCGGGGGTTTCGGATCAGAGTGGGATAGTTTCGGCGCCCAGCGGGAGTCACGTCGGTCTGTCAGTTTCGGGGGGAGGTGGGGCAGTTTCCGTCCGATTCTTGCAGGCCTGGGCCTGAAAGTGACCGAAATTGACCATGTCCTGATCCGACACTGTCCGGGACCGTGTTCCGAAACTCAGCACCGAAACTAACCCCGAAAACCCTGAAACTCACAACTTGCCCCGGGTTCACCTGCGTGCTGTCTTGTGCCACGGTACTGTGCAATCGGGCTTGAAGTCGGCAAGGCAAATAATGCATTGATCCTGGCAGTTCCATAGGGCTTCAGCATCTATCAAGCACGACACCCCTATTACCGTGGAACAGGTGCCAGCGTTGCTGACGCTTGTTTGCAGCTGGAACTGGATGACCGCCAGAAAATATGCACGGCGCTTATCCGCCTCCTACTTCACAAAAACTCTAGAACTGCAGCACAATCGAAGCCACTCCATTGGAAAGGCTCACCATGTGCACACAGCTTGACAGCATAGGCAGGAGGCACATCACCCGTTATGTCTAGACCCCATTTTTTAAAGCTTGACGGTAGAACACTTAGTTGTAACTTTTTGAGTCTTATATGTAACTTCTCATTTTTCAGCTTTTCAGCAAGATGACTAAGATAGAAAGACAAGCATTTTCGCTATGACGTCTTGTGTCTTAAGCACCAAGCCACTAACTTTTATGGTGTATTAATTTTTCCCCTTATGGTGCTCGTTTTCGCTCAAGGGTTCGTGCTGGGAAAGGGTTTCTGCTGGATTCACTCCTTCGGGTTTCGCCTGGGAACTCACTTCTTAGATTTTTGGTCTTGGGTGAAATTTTCCTGCTGGATTCACTCCTTAGAGTTTTCGCTTGGAAATTCACTCGCTAGGGTTTTCGTCTTGGGTATTCACTCCTCAGGGTTTTCGTCTTAGGTTTTTCCTCCTAGATTCACTCTTTAGAGTTTTCGCCTTCGGTCAAGGCTTGACGGTCAAGGGCTCCTGCTTGATTCACTCCTTAGGGTTTTCGTCTTGGGAATTCACTCCTTCGGGATTTCGTCTTGGGTATTCACTCCGTAGGGATGTCGTCTTGGGTATTCACTCCTTAGGGTTTAGGTCTTCGGGAAAAGGTTCCAGGCTGGATTCACTCCTCAAGGCCTTCGTCTTGGATTAAAGTTTCTGCTGGATTCAGTCCTTAGGGTTTTCGTTTTCGGGAAAAGCATCCTGCTGGATTCACTCCTTAGGGTTTTTCGTCTTGGCAACTCACTCCTTAGGGTTTTCGTCTTAGGTCAAAGCTTCCTGCTGGATTCACTCTTTAGGATTTTTTCGTCGGTCGGACCAAGCAGATCATGTAGCAGGAGGAGTAGAGCACCCTGGGCGGCGAGTTCCCACGCGGCAATGAAGGACTGCAAAAATGAATCGGGCGGAATCCAAGGGAATAAGTCCAGCATCTGCGCGCGGGAAAAGGTGTTCTGAAAGAGGAGCTGGCGGTTGTCCGGTAACCGGACAAAGCCACCCAGGCCCACGGACTCAGCGTCAGCGCAGGCGTCGGCAAGCGCAGGTCGGAACCGGACGGTAAAAAATAAAAAATTCGTGCGATTAAACTCGGAACCAGGGCTTTCGTCTTCGGTCAAGGGTTCCTGCTGGATTCACTCCTTGGGGTTTTCGTCTTCGGGAAAAGTCCTTCGGGTTTTCGTCTTCGGTCAAGGGATCCTGCTGGATTCATTCCTTAGAGTTTCGCCCTGGGTCGTCCGAGGTAACACTCCTGGGGGCTTTCGTCTTGGGTTAAAGTTTCCTGCTGGATTCACTCCTTAGGGTTTTCGTCTTCGGTCAGGAAAAGGTTCCGGCTGGACTCACTCCTTGGGGTTTTCGTCTTGCTTGGGGTACTCATTCCTTAGGATTGTCGTCTGGGGTATTCACTCCGTAAGGGTTTTAGTCTTGGGTTAAAGATTTCTGCTGGATTCACTCCGTAAGGTTTTCGTATCTGTAAAGGGATGACCGAGGCAACTGTATTATCACTGGTACCTGTGGCTTCGGCATGTCGGCTGAAGCTAAAGGCCCTTTACCAAGGGAACTGGGTGTAGAACTTTGGCACGGGATACACAGCCTCCCAGTGTGGTTGTCAAATGTGGTGGGGGCCTGGCGAGTAGGGAAGTTGAAGTAACAGCCACCTCGAAGTAACAGAGTCTTCATGATTGTCTGAATGAGCTCGTTCCCTCTCTTGCGCAAAGCCTGACTTGTGGGGTAGGTGGGGAAGGTGGCCTAGTGGGGGTAGGCGGGATAGGTGGGATAGGCGGGTGTCGGTGGGATAGTGGGGGTAGGCGCGGCAGGTGGGGCAGGAGGGGTACTCGGGTGGGTGACCAGAAGTTACAACTGAGCCTGCTACTAAGCTTGACCCTTCAATTCAGCACTGCCCTGTAGTCCTGAGAACACTTGTTGTGCTGGTAGCTGCCGACGTCTTTCTCGTCTGGGACCCTGAAGAAAAAGCAGCCATCTTTAGCAACTCATCTTATTCGCAAATGCGGAGTCGGGGAACTGAATAGCGTCTTCAGTGACATCCATCATCGCAGTAGCTAGCTGCCCTTCCACCAGTGCAATGGACTCGTCTATGGCCTATGGAGACACTACAGCAGTCGCAAGAAATCCTGCCAAGATCAGACATCCGTCATGTCAGGGACACAAGCATAATCCCATGTCAAAGCCTGTCGTTTGTGAACTCGTTCTCGTCGCTGTTCTCCTGTTCGCGCTCGGAGAACTCCTGCCAGCAGCCCTTCTTTGCTTCAAAACTGCGTGGCATGGGCTCCATAACAGCATTAGCAAATCAAAGCTGCTGATGGAGTTAAAAACCCATGAACTGAAAGGAAGTCTGCTCGAAGCCTATAGGCTCTCATGAACGCTGCGTGACGTCCAGCGAATACTCTATGAGTAGTGCTGCGTGCGGCATCACAGCGTTTCACAAAATGGATTCAAACTAAGCACATCTTGAGGTTCAACCAAATCGAACTCTTAGGCGAGACAATGAACTCAAAGGATTCCTTGCTAATCATGGAACTGCTTGTCAGGTCGAGAGACGGTAGGGGCTTAACAGACACTTTCATCAGAGAGCACGCTACTACCCAACAGTTTGCAATCAGAACGAGCTATGCCCGACAAGTCGCGCTGGATGTACATCAATGTTACTAGCAGCAACCTGCCCTGTAACGGCGGGGTGCCTGGAAGGAGAGTCGCGGAAGCATGTCCAAGTACTCGCTGCGCCGCTCTTTGCGTTTCTTCTGAGCTTCTTCCTGGCGCAATCTTTTGTTATGCATTTTGGGGCTGTAGGTACTCCTTGGCCACAGGTCTACCTGATGCTGTCACCCGACCGCAGATGCTCCCACCAGCAGCCCGAACCAATCGCTGCAGAGGCATTTTGTTCTTGTTGCTTGTGCTACAAACCTTGTTCTTAAGCCAGCCTGGAATTGTGCCATCATTCTTTTGGCCTGCTTCCACATAGTGCCAGCTGCAGCAACCTCACGGCAAGGAATGAGAGTCTAGCTTAGCTGCTTAGCTCCCAGCTACCGCAGCGCATGTCAAGTGGCCGTCGGAAGGTCCAACAACAGAATCCTAGGTCGGACAAGCATGCAAAGAGCTCTGGGTAAGCAGCAAAATGAATTGCTACGATGTCACGGCAAACCCTTAAGACACAGCCCAGCGGCCCCAGGGCCACGTACCATCCAGTGCTCACATCAGACCATGCTCCACAAAGCATCGTGATTTCAAGCGCCAGCAAGACCGCCTGCCCAAGACTGGAACATCAAGAATTGAAAACACGAGCCGGCATCCAACAGACATGCCTTTGCCACCAAGAAAAGTACCAAGCGCACCATGATATCCTCGGGTGGTGATACAACACTGACTGTTGATACCTCAGGCTGCAGTAGAACAGCACATTGACATGCTACCCCTACCCAAGCCCTGCCGCTTGAAATATGGATTTGCTCATGGAAACCCGGAAGACACCCGTCCGACCAGCAAGTATCTTGCAAAAGCACCTACGCAATCGATGCCGTCAGCCTTATCTAATCCCACAGCATTTGCAACGACCTGATGAAACTGGCGCTATGGCTGCAAGACTGCAGCTCAGCGTCGCTGTCCGCAGAAGTTGCCCGACGCAAGCGGCGGTAGGTGCAAACCAACCAGGCGCAGCTGCCAATGAGGGCCTTGGACCGCCGCGAACCATAGAGCGCCTACACGTAAGGCTTGTGCGGCACAGCATGCATGTTGTGCACGCTGTCCAGTTCCCATAAGGCGCTGACGAGGGCGACCCCAGCCAGGTACGGCAGCTCACTGCGGCTACGACGCCAGCCCACCATGCTGTGTCACGAGAAATTCGGGTGGATCTTCTTTGGATGGCTGCTGCCTGCTTCTCCGAGCCAAATGCAGCTGTCACCTGGAGTGTAGGAACTGACGACAGTCTCTGATATTCGATGCTGCCCTCAAAATCAGGACGTGGGATGGGAAAATCATGCAACCTTCGACATGCTTGTCGCTGCTGGTCCATACAGTACTTTCGTCAATGAGACCATCCATTGCAACAGGCTCTGTCGTGCCACATGCACAAGACCAGACAAGAGCTCACTTCATGCATATAGTGTCCGAATGGCATTGAAATACGGTGGGATTGGTGATCTGTGAATCCTTCAAGCTGGAGTCGTCTGCCTTGGCCCTCTTAGTGTCGGGTCCAAGGCAGCAATGGCCTTCAAAAAACATGAAAAAGACCAAGTCCGCCACAGCAGCCCAGCAAGAGGCGTGCATTTTGATGGGAGGCAGCCATGGGGCTGGGCGACGATATCGAAGAGCGAAGGTAACGAAGGACGACAAAAGTCACGGCCAGACGCACGCTTTCCACGCGGAGTGTCACCTGCTACACAGGTTGCATGGGTAAAGCGAGAGCACTTCTGACAGGCTGTTGCATCCGCAATGGCATGCGATCCAAAGGCATGCTTGAATAAGAGGCATGAAATTCGACTCGGTCGAGAAGCCCTTTGAGGAACCTTGCGATGAAGCGGCGACCGAAGAAATCGGAATCCGACCGGCAGAAACTTTGGTCCCCTGGCGCACCCTTATTTCCTGCCATACACCCAGCTGGGCCCACAAACCTGTAAAGGAAAGGAGCCGGCACAGTCGTCGAATTATGCTACGAACTTGGGTTCGATCGACATAGCTGAAGCATCGAATTTGCAGGAGCATGTCAACACTCCCGGCATACCACGCGAAGAACTCGAACTCTCAGTCATCTGAAGTCGAGGTGCAGGTCCGTCGACAGCTGAAGTATGCTGGCAACGAAAATTACACTTGCTGCAGAAGATCATTCTCAGGAACGCCATTCAAGCCAGATCGGCTGTGTGTCTGCGGCAGCAGCTGCAAGGTCGCCTTCCACTTGTCCTTCTGGAGCTGCTGGGCGTCACCTGAAATTGGCTACAGCCGAATGCTTAACACCAGAAGGCAGTACATAAATGGCTTGGCTCGGCTGAAGCTGGCATAAACGAACACAAACTGCGCGGGACGTTTTTCACCCGAGCACACTGCTGACTGCTGAGTCTGCGTGGAACCAACATCCCACCCGAGCACACAAACGCCTTGAGCGAAAAGCAAACAAAGCTCCCTGCAAGACAGTGGAGCAATGTGACATGCACTTTCAAGCATGGAGGGGAGCACACCGGCACGCATGCCGATGATTTGCACCAAACTCAATCCCGACTGTGCAGCTTGTAGGCCGAATTGGTGTCAACATCTCGCCTTAGCGACGGGGCCTTGAAGAATCACAAAGAAAAGGTCGTTAAGAGACAAGTGCACAAGCACAACAGTGCGGACGACCTGACTGGTGACCAGCAACACTTGTGCTACAAAGTGGCTAGTCCAAAATCAGTACTGCGGTTCGGTTCACAACACACAAAGTCAAATCTTAGTGTTCACAACAGAGGACCTGCTCTTGAACCACAGTGTCGGTTGCACACAACCGTGCCCGGAGGCTCTTGGTGTGTTTGAAAATGAGATGTCGTTCGAAGGACTTAAAGGCTGGTAACCAAACTTCTTGTGCGAAGATTGCGGAAGACAAATCACGTCACTACGCAGTGCCCACTTGGCACCTGGTGCTCGAAACTGAAGCCGCTGCTGCTGCGTAAGCGGTTTCCGCCTCCTGCGTGACCTGCGCCTTCTTGCCACGGCGCCTCACTATCCAGCATGACACCACCACCCCACACACGATCATGATCAGCACGGTCATCACGATCAAAAGGACCACCCATCCACTCACCCCGCTGTCGTCGTCGTCCAAGGGGTCAGTCTGTTGCTCGCCTGATGCGACTTCGGCGGTGGTGGTTGCTTCATCACCTGTCTCGAGACTACTGTTGCCATCGGCTGCAGGGGAAGAATGGGATGTCGTGGTTTGTGAGGTGGAGAAGGTGCTCTGTGAGGAGCTGGACGACGTGGAAGAGAACGTTATGCTCTTTGAGGTGGAGGAGCTGCTTGACGTTCGCGTAAATGTAGAAGAAGAAGTCTCAACGAATGATGTGGAAGAAAACGTCATGCTGCTTGAGGTGGAGGAGATGCTTGATGTACGTGTAAATGTGGAAGAGGATGTCTCTGTCGAGCTGCTTGTGGTTGCTGAACTGGAGACGCTGCTGGAGGTTGTTGACGTGGCCGCATTGTTGCTCGCG